TTATGTCTACGACAGTGAAGGTGTTTCAGAAGGACCCAACGGTGAAATATTGTAAATGGCCACTTATAGGAACTTTTCGATAAATTTGGTCTACCGCCGGACACCTGTAGGGGACCGGATATTGCTAACGGGAGCATGAAGATGATACCACAGTTCACATATCTGATGAGACGGACAGTTCGATTTGCAGAGGCTCCTATGTATAACGTGGTGGGCACAATAGATAAATGAGATATGGCGCAATAAAAGCCACTGAAGTGGACTGCCAAAACCGAAGCAGCTGCAGTCAATTCAGTGTTGGTGCACTGAAATCTCTCAGGCCTTCGCCCGATTATCCGGTGTCTGACCTGCACATCCCAGCAACGATTGTATCCGGGATGGCGGACTGGCGAGAATACTTCCACATGACACTCCATCGCGTCGTATCATTGTCGCGATGATAGCATTTGCTTCCTTAACCACCTATCACATCGGAATACGCGAGTAGACTCCGGCACACATTTGCGCTGCGCCACTGAACTCTCTGTAAGCGGCATGTCCAACCAGTAGTCTGTAAGCGGCATATCACATGGGATTAAATAAGCACTATGATCCACAAGGTATGCATACAGTGGCGAGGTGACCTGCACTGCTAATAAAACACTTTCACAGCATACGAATATTGCTACTACTAGCATAGCTTATCACTCTGAAAAATTAGGAGGGGTCGTCTGAAGATATGTGGCACAATATACAGTGGAATACAACAAAACATTACAAAGAAAAGCACAAACAAACCAACAACCGGTTTGCAGTGACAAAACACATGAGAATCCTGTTAGCTTCAACGTGATAGCACCGCGGACGATTTTGAAAGCTGTGCATCCCCGACGATCAAACAGAAACACAGCATCACACAGATACACTGATATAGGGACACAAGTGTCACTTCTCACACATTCTTCGACTTGCAGTTAATGCGAAATTTGGCCCCAAATGTGTCAACTGTTTGAAAAGCGTCCTTCGACAACATACAACATCCTGCTGTGTCCTGGTCATCGAGGAAATAGATTCTACGATGAGGGCGAGCTCGTAAGATACAGACCACAGAAACAATGAACAGAGGACGTAGTGGCAAGATTACTTACTTTGAGAAGGCCAATGAAGGGAATGAAATTAACCCTCTGTAGACCGTCCTTGTACAAATCTGTACCAAGTATAAAGAATGTTTGAAACTGTAACAGGTGGTTTTACGTAAGACAGACTCTGGCTAAGCGGTCTACAGTATAAAATGAGAAGGCCCTATCCATATTCAGCACTGTGAAGGATGCACAATACTCACAAGGTGAGGCAATCATCCTTGCAAACTTGAACGATCTACTTCCAATAAAGTTACCTGTTGAATAACCGGAACGATTTATTATTAAAATTCCAATAACGAGGTTGAAGACAAGAAGCGAGAGCAGTCACGTAGATGCCAGTAAGACAGCAATCACACCACAATTCCTCTCAAACACCCAAGTGCCATTCGACTGAGCAACAGAGTGGTATACGACAACCGTAACTAGCAGTGTATCCATTATCAGAGGAGATTAAAAACACCATATGAATAGCTACGTAACAAGGCGGGTTGCGTCACGCTATGTACAAAGCTTAATTAGAAAACATATGGCGCTTTTAAAAACCTATCACAGGCAAGCACAACTGTCACCGCATGACAGCCATAAATCCATAGACGTAAATAAACACACCAACATTCCACCATCACATGGTTCCAAAAAAATGCAGTCAGATATAACGCAACACACTAGCGAGTGCTTCATTTAAGTAGCAGAACACGAAAAAAATCACCCAACCTCCCAGTTCAGTTCGTTAACTACAAACCATCTACCACAGATAAGGTAGTACCGTTCACGAAGACTATGGAGGGGACATACAATACAATACAAACAAATGCAATATAACCAGCTGCGTAACGAATTCATTAGTGCCGGAGTGCATTACTTTTCTCGTGGGTAGGAATGAAATGCGTCTAACTTGCAATTTATGATATGATTGGGTACGCATATTCTCCATCGAGTTCAACAATGTGACACCCATCTACTGTCTCCAGTGACAGTTTATTTTAGGTCTCAGCTAGCAAGGCTGGGCGGCAGTAAGATCTGTATGTCACTGTGCTACATCCAGTCTGTCCAACAGCGTGCAACCACCACACAAAAAGCAGACACTTAAGGTGTACCACAACCAAGGTGTACTAACCAACCATTGAAATATGGTTTCTACGGATGAACTTCGACGGCCCAGCACTCTTCGACACACGTTCAGGCTGCTTACTTGATGGTGTTGTCAGACGCAACCAACAGCATGCTGACTGGTAAACATAAACCTGCCATCTTCGAAGGGCTGAAAATAGCTCAGCGTTGCGAACTTACTGGAAGGAAGGTCCGTGGTCCCAACACAATCCCTGAATCTTAACTGCTCATATCTAGGTTTGAGCAGCACGGTAGTATCTCAGTCCTCGTGCTTCCCTCCGGTGGCTTGGCAGTTATGCACAGAAAGGGTGGTGCAGCTGAGCGATTATTATTGTTTATTACAACTAGGATAAATTAAACAGGCAATCTAAGAAGCAAAGGAGACATTCAAAAAGCCAGCCACACTCAGACCCAAGAAGAACAGTAGCGGTGTTTCGTCCAAAACTCCGACTTCAGTTGAAGTGTTATAGTATAAGGCCTGGTATACGGTCGATTGCTTGTTTGGCAACGCAAACCTCAATACGCACTCGTATGAGTCCATAGATAAATACAGTCTATAGCTGCATGGCCCTATGTGCAGAAGGTTAGCTTAGCTGTTTTTGGTGGATGTTGCAATGCTCTAGGGTAAGGCACAGGCTGAATACTTGGTCATTACCCTCAGGTCAGGCCCACAAATTAGCCGGATGTTCACCGGGCGAAAACTGCATCATCATATTTCCGGGATACCAGATAAAGGAATAATTGCCGGTTTATTAGCACAATCATCCAGTGTGACCCAGCTTGGTTTGCCTAACTGAGAACATTTAACCGTACAGTTTGGTTCTGAACTCAACTTCATTACTTCACAAGGTAACACCCCTTAATGTACTGAACCTAGAGTGACTTCGGAGAGGCACAAAAGGGTTAAAAAGGCAGGAAAGTGGGTCAACCTGAACTGTTTACCAACATATATGCGACCCGAGTGTAGCCTTACAAGCCGCCACTACATTGTGACCTCCCTGAGAAAAAATTTTGCTGAGATACAACATGACATGACAAACAGTGTAGCAGGAATTCCGACTGGAAATCATTTGGCTCGTAGCTGCCCGCATTCATTCTTCCAATTGCTCCACTGTTTAATCGATTGGTGGTACGTGATCCTGAAGTGTCCCTTGGTTGTCTTGGAAGAAAATAAAGTCCCCCTTCCTATCGCCTTGCATATAGCCACAGTAAAGATACACATCCGCTGGTGTACTTGCGGTCATCTCTCCACAAATTTCCAAAAGAGCGCACTGTATAAACAAGATACTCCCACCTATAGGTGTTCATACACAGCGACTGAAGGTGGTTTTCGTCATGCATTCGTCGCTTCGAAGCTGGACAGAAACGGTCGAGTGGTGAGCGTTTATTTAATTGACTAGGTGAATACCAGGATCGTTTGCAAGAACTCTTGCTTTCCTTTGAAATCAGGTGCTACCGTTACAGCCTCACTAAGTGATTACAACCCCTACTGGTCAAAAGTGCACGTAGATCAGTCATTCTCGGTATGCATATGAAACTTACTAGCATAGTTCCACGAGAATTCGAACACATTTTTGATCATTTCTACTTAACTTATCAACTTATTGTTCTTTTCACATTTTCCCTTTAGACAGCTCAAATTTATGGAGTACAGGGCATGAAGCATGGCATAGTATGTTTACTAAACGATCGTTCCGACTACGTTGTCATGGGATTTCGTGTCGTGTTGATAATCCCGATTTTCGATCATATCGTAGCAAGATGCCTAGGAGATGCAGTACAAAGTACGATATATTCATGTGCATTGCCCAGCACTGATACGAGCTAAACTAAAATATACGCCTACTATGATTGGCTACGCCACTGAGTGGAATCGATGGTACTTGGCCGTACTACTGAGGCATTGGTCAGCTTGATCTAAGGCTGCCAGAATGTCTACTGTGGGAGGTTGTTCACGGGAAAATTCATCATGCCCAGCACCAGCAGCAGCCCCAACGACACAGTCTCCAGCACTGATGCTTCGCAAAAGTATGGCCATACTGCGAAGAAGGTAGATGGGGATGGAGCTTGGTGCTAGCATATCGCAATCTTTCCGAGAGGCCTATAACCCGAGACTTATAACGGAACACTGATAACGGAAACGCTATCAACATCGACTTACAGCGTCGATTAGTGTGTATCTTCCAACGACTCCAATCCTGCACAAAGAGAAGGGCAGTCAACGAGACGCCATCATGGAAAACAAGTCGCACCGACAGCACCTGGACAGCTATATATCTGGGGCATTCAACCCCAAGTGACTTATTTCAGTAGCAGCTCAAACGTCTGCACGCATTATGTGGTAGTATTACAGTTCAGTTCTTTTTATTTTACACTGATTTGGAATCTAGTTTCGGTATGACCTCACATAAAGAAAAGCAGCCAGTCCCTGAGGTACAACACAAACCTAGCTCCGCATACGTGTATACAACGGCACTCAAGTTCTGTGACTATATCATCGTGGGCCAACCAACTGCCAGACCAAACATCGTGGAGCAACTTATCGTTTGGCAACCACTACATGACTGACTCACTCAAATTCGCGTCCACGTTGTACATTTAGTATAGGAAGAACGCAACGTCGGCCTGAATCACCAACCGTGATGCCAACCAGCTTGTATCAAAACAGCTAAATACGACACTAACGATAATAATAGTAAACAAATCCATGAGATATGTGGAATAAAAATTAGCAGCAACTATCTTGCATTTCTACTTCGGACCAGATAAATGGCGTTGCCTACAAGAATGCAGAAATTTGCTTAGAAATGTGCACCCATCCTCGTGTGTTGATTCGGAAGGGCACAGTATCTATATAGAATATTCCATAAAAATGTACAAACACGACATCGTTACTACAGACTACCGGCGCTACCTAACGGCATTATTCTTAAAGACTCCAGCTTCAATGTGACCATATAGCCGTGCGATGTTGTATGATGACCTCTCAGATACGGCCAAATTAATGGACCTCTTCATTGCTGTAACAGAAATGGGACATGAGATCGCCAAGAGAGATCTGGTAAGGCGAGATAGTGGAGTTGTCCTGGATTCGGACTTTCGTGGAATCTTTCCCTTGACAAACGAACATCCGCAAAAAAAACCATGCTCACCTAACAATGGTAGAGGGGCGTAATTATTTTTATGTTGATCTGTTGTCACGAGCACAAAGTAACGTCAGATAGGAAACCTGTGGTCAAAAAGCTCACCAAAAACTGTTAGAATAACAGAGGCCTACGTGTTTGAGGACAGCAGCAGGATGAAGTGGACAGCGACAAATTGGCACGCAATGATTTTTACGTACAATCAATTTCGTCAAGAATCGACTGTTATAAATTGGTCGTTCCCCAGAGGAGACATGATGACAGCAAAAGCAAACGGTAACCTTACCATCCGGTTTACGGTTTGATGTGGCAACCATGACGACGCCAGAAGCGAACAGATTTTCGAACAATCGTTTCAGAATCATTGCATCCGCAATGTCCGTAACCTGAAAATGTGAAAACGCTGATAACTGGCTTTATAAACAATAATAAGACAAGCAATCAAACGAACTTTTGGGCAATGAGTTCTTTTAAGCAATTATTTCATCACGGCGAGATGGCGTAGGTGCCGAGATATAAGAGTTTCATTTGTGAACGCAAAACAGATGGATAATTATGTCGAAGGTCCAAAGCAAACAACGAAGGAAATGACACGTCGGTTTACTTATATACTGTGCGTCCTTGCAATCATTTCTTCAAATGCGGTGTGTTGATGACAAATGAAACCAAATTAAGTGTTTCATAATTTATACCCTTGTCCCGAGTCACGCGAGAAAGAAGCGCTCACTAAACATGAAGTGTTACCAGTAAACTTCGGATGGACTGTTAATAGCCCACAGTAAACGCTTCTGGCTGAGGCACTGTTTGTGAATTGAGATAATGACGAGCAGCTCCACTCGTCTTGGAAACGCCAGCAGAGGAATCCTACGGTTCGAAGGATCATCATCATTGGCTACAAACCAATGACATAAATCACGGTTATTTCAAACACCCCTCCGGAATTCAACTCATCCTCTTACCAATAATGAAGGTAAACAAAACTGGAGAATCAGTATCCTCTTCGGACAACACTGCTCGCACGAAAGTCCCTGGGGAGCAATCCACACACCCTTATGTGTCCACCATATAAAGAACTTATGATATTTACGAATTAGGAACGAAGCGATCAACAAAATCGAATACACCCTTGAGGTCAAGGAATCAAACTGTAGGACGCCTGTAGGCATGCCATTGCTCTAACACTAGACTAGGTAGAACGGTGTCCCACAACGCCTTCCAGACGGAATTCCACCTATAACGGGTCCCGTATTCACGCGCCCCCATCAGACGGAGTGAAATAAGCGACGCAAAGTTAAGTTGCGCAGGGGGTCAAACTAATTCCTCTGCGATTATCACACTCACTGCGAGCATCTTTTATGTAGGCGACTAAAAAGATCGACTCATCCCAGTTGGGTGGGTGGCCTCTCATAAGGATAGCGGCATTTAGGTTAGACAAGCTCTGAGTGAAGATTTCAAACCCAGAACTATGAGGGTTTATCCAAACCATCAGCTCGGTGATACTTGAAAAAGACACGGCATTCGTGTACTTCGGAACTGGCAGAAGTTCCAAGTTCGCTGTGCAGGGCTACGTTGCCTGTCGGAAATCCTACTAAGCAATATCAGGTGGCAAACTGAATGGTTACTGATAATATTCAGTGCAACGATTCAAAAGCTCTTTTTTAAAATTAAGCTAGTCATTTTCATCCTTGAGTGCTTCGCTCGCCAGAGATACTTTGTGACCGGAAGGTTGCGAGTTCGAATCTCTCCAGAGAGTCGTGAGACTCGCGATGATGATGGGTCCCAATAAGAACGATACAGTCGCACAGTGCTTCTTGGTTCTTCAGCATGGATCGATCTCACCGCCATTGACAACTAAGTGGGTTTGCGTGCTGTTGCACATTGGTGTGTTGGTTTCACACATCGATATAGGTGACGTGTGGGTGAACAAATAAACACAATCGATATTTACGAGCGTATGTTCCTGGTGAGGGTGAAGTGTGGAAATTCACCGGAGTGATGCACCACAGAAGTCGTGTCCATGATAAACGCCACAACTGTTACTTTGCAATACAACCAAGGTGAATGACGGGCTACAAAAGGCGACCGAAATGGGCGTCTAGCGAATACTTTTCACCTGATATGACCAGAAAATTGGTTACAACACTTTAAGGATAGAAGATATTTAACCACGGTTCGCAGTTTCTCTGTATACTGCTCCTTGCAAAAATGTCAGCTTCAAAAGGCGTTTTTAGCGCACGCCATTGAGACGGTCATTATTCATCGGTATTTTGTTAATGGTGATAGCGCCACCGCATAATGTCCCTCAACAGGCACTGCAAACTTCCTGGCAGTACACATGGAAAACCGGTCACCATTTTTCTTGAGGATAGATTGAAAACTATCGCAAGTTCTGTATCGAGTCGGATGGACATCAGTAGCGGACAAAGAAATGAGGAACACCGACAGACTTCAATGGAAATCTGGGGTGAACAGGAAAGTTGAACGAACTAAATAATGTAAAATGACATTTACCCAGACGCACTTGCCTGGGATGATTGCCACGGTATTTGCAGAAGTGTACATGATCTAGACATAATACACTACTCATAAAGTTGCTGAAAACTACTCGACAGCCAACGACCAGTTTCGTCCTTTTTGGGGCTCACTACAACATGCTAAACGAGAGATTCAGAAATATTCCAGGTGAATCTCTGGTCAAAACCAAATTGATGTGCACAAGAGCGTATTTGTGAATGATCTAAATAAAGATCATAGGCCCTCCTCTGGTACTAACAGGCCGGGACCATGCTGTGGACTGAAAACCTGGTTACATGACGAATGAAAATGTGAACGATGATTTGAATACCCAATCTATCGAGAACTTTGCCCTTACTAAGGCTCATCAGGCGGCATAAAAGAGACAATCGTGTGACCCTCCTCTTTACCTGTTTTACAAGAATGGTCAGAGCTGAAGCGATCCTTAGGTCACCTAAGTATGCTAAGATGCCACTATACTGATCACTATACATCTATCTTATGAGTTTAATAGACATGTTAAATCTCTTATGACTGAAATCTTCGAATACTTGTACGTTTACATTTCTTCCAGTTGGAAAATATCATAAACAAGGGCTTTATCAAGGATTCAGTTGAGTTTGTCGCTAAAACCAAATTAGCATGCGAATGTATGCATTTCGCGAACTGACTGGTCAAACATCCTTTCAGTTCGCGTCAGTTCATCTACGAAAAATATCCTTCTGCGCAATATTTCATCCGCGAGCATACTTTTGGATGGTAGCATGTTTCTTACGACCAGATTTATAGATGTCACTAAAATGATACAACGCGTGTCGTGTGGGATAAAAAATATACCAAGAAGGTGGGTGAAATATTTCCCGCCACCTACTATGACGCTCGGCTATACATGACTAAACGAATGGTATGCCGTCTTATAACGCAAGAACACGACACAAGGACCTCAGCATGGCCGGGCTCCACAACAAGAGTCACTTTGGATAACCCCAAGTGGTAGTCATTGTTGAGATGGATGCATATCAATATATGCCAAGAAACAAACGATACTAATTAGGTTCACTTATTGAATTCACTGCGTCGGGTTTGCTTATGTAAGAACAAACAGAGAAGCAAAATAATTGATATGACGAACAAAGAAGTGACCAAAGTTAGGCGGTGGAACAGGTCAACATTCCCACGAAGATGAACAAGGACTCACTTGAAATTCATCAAAGCATAGCAGCTTGGACTCTGAGCTGACCGTTTTGGCCACAGCTGGTATTGGATCGAAAGGTTTGTTTCTGGGCGCACTCGTCCTCAAAATATGGAGTCCTGTCAGGCAATAACTGAAGTCCGATTAGAGAAGAGAATTTACCCTCGTGGATATTGCGCATGAAAGAATGAAAATGAGTTCTGCATTTCTTCGGATATGTACATGTGTCGTAGAACATATCCATCAAAATAGTTTTCCCGCAACCTTTGGAGTATACTGAGCACGACAAGGAAGGGCTTACCAACAGGACCGTGCAAATAGATTCCATGGGGAGCAGGATTTTTTAGAAACGACTGTTAAATAACCTCTGAATGTAAACGTGACCTACATAAGGAAAGCGTGCCTTCTTCTCGTACGCAATAAGGCGTTCACAAAGACGATCAAAATGGCTAATCATAGCCTCTTGAGTAGCGTCCATTTTTAACTTCCCATCAGAGACTGCCCGGTGATAAGCTTCAGATGGGCTATCCGGAGGGTTATGTGATAGATGACGACAAGGAGGAGATCGGAGAAAACCGTGCGCGCAATTGCACGCTAGCAAAGTGCGCCGCATAGGAGAACGAAGCATAACTTGGCAAATACATCGGCCCTCCAAACTGGATCTCAGTTAAATTGGCCTCAGCAAAAACACATCACAAGCAACGCCTGAAAAACACAAAGTGAATAATGATAATTGCTACTACTGAGAAGTGCGGAATATAAACCAGTATAGTCCGGACTTTACACACAGGCTAAACAGATATACACTTTCTACCAGGAATCGCCCGCCATTCAATTTGGGTTTGGTAACATGCGAAGTGCAAAATGTCAATTCAAAAAGAACAGAATCGGAATGAGCTACTCTTAGTATCGACAGAAGAATATAGGGCATTATAAACAATACTTCTGAGCAGAACCCAAATGGAGAAATACCTGCCAAATCTGACGTAGCACACAGATGAGCTGAGGTGCAGCCCTTTTGAACACCTGTAATTCACCACAGTTGAGTTTAAAAAATAGCACTGAGTTGAGAAGAGCAAGCCGCGTTTCACTAATAATAATAACGAAAGTATTTTAGTTGAAACGGGTAAAATGATCAGTAGCGTGACAATTATAGCACTACAGCATTACATCAGTCTTGAACACTGATGTGCTGTCCATGACGGTGATAGTCAGAACATTCATCTGTGCAAAGATTGGGTGTGGGGGATCAGATAGATATAACAATGAAAGTGGATAGAACAAAATATTTTACGACGTAAAGCTAAACCAGGCTTCTTTGGATGGGTTCGTCGCTGTCCCGCCGAGATGTGCAAATTACACGGTGTATTAGAATTTGGTGCCGTGGAATCAGTGTCGTTAGTAGGTCATCGCGATTAGACCATTATCACTATCCGAGGTGCTTAACGTTGGATGCTCCCCAACCGAGAAAGGCAAGTCCCGCACTGGTTATGGCTGTGTATTGGGTATTACTCATTCACTACAGCACGTTGCGATTAAGTGACTTTGTTCCGGTTCTACCGTCGGCGCAGACAGCGTGAGCGTACTAACGATCGCATATATTGGTTAAAACCTCTAGGAACGTGAACTGACTATTGTTATATATTGACGTTGTGTTTAACTTTTTACCCGCTACTCGTTGAGCTAATTGTGTTTCCTAATGTTTTAGCTGATGTACTGAAATTGATAGAAGATTAAAGCCAATCATTCGGCAATCCTCGTTCTCTGTTTCTGGCACAATCATTCGAGTGCGCAACAATTTAATCTTCTATCAAAACACAATGGAACGATTGTTTCGCCCAGATCGGTTTGACGCCGATCCCCAATCCTCTTCTGCTTCAGAACAATGGATCCATTGGCACGAAACGTTTACGAACTTCCTCTCATGCATCGAACTCCCAAACGTTGACAAAAGAAAACTTTTGGTAAATTTCCTTTCTCCGTCCGTCTATCAACATGTTTGTGATTGTACTACTTACGAAGACGCCATCCAGACGCTCGAAAAGATGTACATTAAACCCAAAAATGAAGTTTTTTCCCGCCACGTGCTGGCTACTACCAAACAAGAACCGGGCCAATTAGTCGACGCGTTCCTGCAAAAATTACGTTACCTTGCCAAGGACTGCAATTTTCGTGCGGTTTCTGCCGATGAACATCGGGATGAGGCTATTCGAGACGCTTTTATCACAGGCTTGCAGTCTAATTCCGTTCGCCAACGACTACTAGAAAAACACACTCTTAAGCTTCAACAAGCTTTTGACGAGGCACGTCTGCTTGAACATGCTCAACAACAGTCACTCTCATACGACTCGTCTTCTCATGTTCCCTGTGGCGCCGCATCTATCAAAACTGATAAACCTCTTACTCCTGTTCGTGATGCTTTTATCTCTCAGATGGAATCTAGTGACACGATTGCAAGCACATCCTTATCTTGCTTCTTCTGTGGCAACGGTAAGCACATTCGTTCAAAATGCCCGGCTCGTGAGTCTTTCTGTCATTCTTGCGGCAAGAAAGGTCATTTCCAAAAAGTTTGTCGATCCAAACTGGGTTCAAGCCGTATCACATCGACGGTGAACCCTGGTGTCTCATCCATTTTCAACATCTCTTCATCCATGGGACTTTCCAAATCAATCGTTGATGTTATAGTGAATAATATCCCACTTCACGCACTTATCGATACTGGTAGTTGCGAAAGTTATATTTCTTCTGACATCGCACTAAAGCATGGTTGGACAATAACATCCTCTAAGAGCGCTATCTCGATGGCTTCAACGAACTTATCGTGTGTTACTAGCGGTCATCTTTATGCTACCGTTCTGTACAAAAGCACACTATACGAAAGTGTCAAACTCTCGCTCTTATCCAATTTGTGTTCAGACGTCATCCTTGGCTTGGATTTCCTCAGTCAACACCAAAGTGTCATCATACCATTCACGGGTAAGCGGCCCCCATTCGCCATATGCACACTGAAAGCAGCGAGAGTTAACGCCCCCTCTTTGTTTGATAATCTCGCCCCTGGATGTACTCCAATTGCCACTAAATCTCGTCGTTTCTCTCGCACGGATACGGTATTTATCGAGACGGAGATTCGGAAGTTACTAGCTGACAAAATTATTGAGCCGTCTAACTCTCCTTGGCGCGCTCAGGTTCTCGTTACTACAAATGACAGGCATAAGAAGCGCATGGTCATCGATTACAGTCAAACCATAAATCGCTTCACTTACCTTGATGCGTATCCTCTGCCGAAGGTGGACGAACTTGTAGAGAAGGTTTCCCATTACACGGTGTTTAGCACACTAGACCTTCAAAGTGCGTACCACCAGATCCCCATTCTCGACAAAGACAAGCCATATACTGCATTCGAGGCATGTGGTAAACTCTTTCAATTTCGCCGCATTCCGTTCGGAGTTACTAATGGTGTGGCCTGCTTTCAACGCACCATAGACAACATCATACGCGAGGAAGGTCTGCTCGATACATTCGCATATGTTGACAATGTTACCGTGTGTGGTCGCGATGCCCAGGAACATGATCGAAATTTGAAGAAATTCTTAGAGGCCTCAAAACGTCACGGTATTACATTTAACCAGAAAAAGAGCATCATAGCTACTGCGAAAGTACTATTACTGGGATACGAAATATCTCATGGTATGATAAAACCGGATCCTGAACGTTTTCGAGCCCTACGGGAGTTGCCTCATCCATGTGACATCCGTTCACAACGAAGATTGGTCGGAATGCTGGCATACTACGCACACTGGATCCCATGTTTCTCAGATAAGATTCATCAAATCGTCCGCAATCAGATCTTCCCGATTCCAGATAGCGTACAAGCGGCACTGAATAAGCTCAAACACGATTTGGAAAAGGCAGCCGTTTTCACCATAGACTACACTCGTCCACTCGTTGTGGAAACTGATGCTTCCGACATAGCCATTGCGGCCACTCTCAATCAAGACGGGCGCCCGGTAGCTTTCTTTTCACGCACTCTGTCACACAGTGAGCGGCATCATTCAGCAATCGAAAAAGAAGCGTACGCGATTGTTGAAGCTCTGAGAAAGTGGAGACACTACCTGATCGGCAATCACTTCACACTTGTCACGGACCAACGATCAGTCGCCTTTATGTACGACAAACAACACAAAGGCAAAGTAAAAAACGACAAAATCCAGAGATGGAGACTTGAACTGTCCTGTTTTCATTACGATGTCCAGTACCGTCCAGGTAATCAGAATAAAGCCGCTGACGCACTATCGCGGACTGATTACGTATCTGCGATGTCACAGGTGGATCTCAAACATCTTCATAATACATTATGTCACCCCGGTATCACGCGGATGCTTCATTTCGTTCGCTCAAAAAATTTGCCGTTTTCGACCGAGGATGTTAAGGCGATTACAAATCAGTGTAGTATTTGTTCGGAATTGAAGCCTCGTTTCCTCAATCACCCTTTTGGCAATCTTATTAAAGCTACACAGCCGTTTGAACGCGTCAGCATAGATTTTAAAGGCCCACTTCCATCGACCTCCCACAACAAATACCTTCTAACAATGATCGACGAGTACTCTCGTTTCCCATTCGCCTTCGCGTGTACGGATGTGTCCTCATCCACCGTGATCAAGTGTTTTAATCAGTTGTTCTCTTTGTTCGGAATGCCCTCATACGTCCATTCTGATCGTGGTGGAGCTTTCATGTCAGGTGAAGTACAAACGTTTCTTCACGACAGGGGTGTAGCAACCAGTCGAACTACCCCATACAATCCGCGCGGTAACGGACAAGTCGAACGGCTTAATGGTACTCTTTGGAAGTCTATCACTCTGGCGTTGAAGACCCAACAACGGGACATTACCGAGTGGGAATGTGTGCTTCTAGATGCTTTGCACTCTGTTCGCTCCTTATTGTGCACCGCTACTAACACGACACCACATGAAAGATTCCTTAACTTCCACCGGAAGTCAACGTACGGCACCTCTCTTCCGACTTGGTTATCGACTCCAGGCCCCGTTCTGTTAAAAAGGATGACACGTTCTTCCAAATACGATCCGTTAGTGGAAGAGGTGGAACTTGTTAATTGTAACCCGCAGTATGCCTGCGTTCGTTTCCCGAACGGAAAGGAAGAAACTGTTTCTCTTAGACATCTGGCACCCAAAGCACAGACAATATCAGATGTCTATTTAACTGAATCAATCGAAAGTGTAGCGGCTCCTCCAGACGAGACTC